ACATGATTGTAGTGTGAATCCATGGTTGAAAACAACTAGATTAGCGAATGCCAAGGAATAGTTATTTTCTTAAGAAATATGAGTCTCTCTGAGTAGGGAGAGAACAACCCAAGTTCAAATTGTTTATTTGGAACAGAAACACTAGATGGGAGCACGTACCAACACCAGCATCATCAGAGTATCCTTGTTTCCTCTCCCAACCTGCTCATTCTGCCCCATGTGAGGATCCCACATGGCATCTGGTGCTGAAGCAGACCCAGGAAGCTGTGTAACCCACACCTTCCGTCCACAAGGGAGGAGTCCAGAAAATAAACAGCTTTGCCCAACGTCTCATAGGAGCAGTAAAGGCAGAATGAGAGCTGGAGTCTCCCGCACCCTGTTTCAGTGCTCCTTCACAGAAAAAAATTTGGAAGCAGTAGGAAAACAGTTGGGGCAGGGAGTCAGCCAAGGCATCCAAAGAGAATTTCAAGAACCAGAGAGAGCAAGGGAAAGAAAAAAATTGTTGCAGACTGAGAAAGGAGAACAGGCACAATCTGAAAATAACGGGAAAATGAGAGGAAACATAATAAAGCAAAAGAACTGGCCAGGAAAAAATAAAATGGGGCGAACTGGCCATCATAATACTTTATCAACAAAATAAAAGGAAAATACAAGGGCATAATGGCATTCAGCTTTGGGAAGCATGGTGAGGCCTAAAGTACTTTCAAAATAATGTAATATAGAAGCAAACACTGTTGGAGAATCACCTGGCAGAGAGGCAGGGGTTTCCAGAAACTCCCAAACCTGGGAAGCATCACCTACTACCTTGCTACTCAAAGTAGTTCGAGGATCAGCTCTGACAACATCACCTGGGAACATGTTAGAAATGCAGTCTCTCTGGCCTGTGCCAGATCTGCCGAACCAGAATCTGCATTTTCCTTAGATCCCTGCATGATTCAGATGCATATTCAAGTTTGCCAAGCACTGGCTCTACTATAAGAACCAAAGTGAGGGTAAAAAACCAAACAACTATTACAGGCAGAAGGTGGGACTAAAGAGCTAAGTAGACGTCAATCTGCCTAATTAAATTATTTGTGGCGGCCCTATGAGAAGCCAGGCCCTGAGCTGGGTTTTTCAGGAAATGAAGGCCTGAGGCTAGGCATGGTTGGCCCAAAAGCACATATACATGAGGAAGACCATGACTTGTGCTCTAAGGGGAGGTCAAGCAAAATGCAACCGGGTCTGGAAGAGTAGAAGCTGAAGTTTAGAGGGAGATCAGGAAGGATGCAGCAATTTCACTGACTCTCTGACAGGTGGAAACAGTCATGGGGAAGCGGGAGGGTCTGTTCCAGGCAGAGAAACAACACAAGCAAAGATGCAGAACTCAGAAGACTGCTTTGTATTGAGGGAGCACTGCCTTCACCCTAGAGCAGTGGTTCTCAAATTACTTCAAGTAGACTCATGACTCTGTGTGATGATGCGTTAGAGACTAAGGGTAGGAAAGGAAGGCGAATGGGATTACCGGGGCCCCATTTCAACCACATAAGATTATATTTTAACAGTGGATTCCACCACTGAAAAATAAAATTTGAAGCATATCACTGAGCCAATACACAAGGTGCTTCCAAAATTATTTCCTAAAGCTGTGTTTGGCATGTGGTAGGTACTCCAATATCCATTGAATAAATTAATAAATCAATGAATGAATAATGAATGAATGAATGAATCTATGAGATCAAAGTAAACAATGTAGAGCTACTTTGGGGCTGGCCTGCAAAGGGTCTGAAATGTCAGAGGAGAGGTTTATATGTCATTAGGTAGGGCACTGGTAAAAAGTTTATTAGCCAGTGACTGAGCTTGGCTCTGCATTAAGGAGCTTATTCTGCACACCAAGTGTAAAACAGATTAAAATGAGAGAGGCTGGAGATGGTAAACTAGTCAGGAAGACATCATGGTAGTCTCTAGAAAGAGATAAGGAGAGTCTGAACAAAGACAGTCACCGTGGCAATAAAAAGGTAGAGAAGCCAGCATGGTGAGGCACTGTGCAGAAGGAGTCCATAGGATTTGTCTGTGAATTATGTGTGGGAAGCAAATATATTGGAAAGATTCTGGGTGACTGTGTGAAACACAGAAATTGACAGAGAGCCGCCTTTGTTCATGGAAGGAGAAAGATGTTGATTAGAGTTTAGACCTGTTAGATTTGAAGCACCTGAGAGTGCTATAAAGCCATCTCCTAGGTGGTTCAAATGTCAATATGAAATTTAGGAAAGTGGAAATAATCTAGCACTAATAAGAGGACACCACTGAATAAAAGTCATATGCAAAAGAGCAAAAAGGAGGTCATCTATACAGCAATGAAGATCAAGAAAAATCTGCAGAATAAAAAAAGAAGAAAAAAGAAAAGGGAGGATACAAAGACCATATTGAGACACAGGGAGAACAGAGTCAGGAGTCAGGGGGGTGGTAAAATATAGTGAAACGGTGGGGTAGGAGAGGAGGGGTCACAGTAAAGACCCAGAAGCAAATAAAAGGCAGTGGGAAACTGGGACAAACGCTCGTTGTCCTTTAGATCTTCGAAGACACAGGATTTTACAGGCACAGCAGAAAGCCAATTTTGCTCTTTATTTCTGTGAACAAAGATTTTTGCAAATAAAGCAGTTGCTCCTGTGAGAAGTAAACTCATGGCTCGGAATTTTTTTTAATATAAATTGTTCCTGTTAAAAATTAAGCAATGATATCTTCAAACTCAGCTGGAAGGAAAAAATCTAAAGCGGGGGAGGCAGTCCAAGAATTTAAGATTCTTGTCTCTTCCATGGTGGGAGCTCCACACAGCATTATCTATGTAGATATTTCACCTTTTGGAATTGTGATCATTTTGCAGGACTTCTTGGTTTTCTTTTCTGTGAGCCAGGTCACCAGCCTGATAAAAAGAACGCTGAGAACACCCGATATACTTTGATAGATCCTCACACAATAGTTGCACTTTATAAAGTTACACTCCAACTGCTGACGGGTCTCACTAATTGGCCATGTTTGGGTGACAAGTACTAATGACAGTTCCTTCTCTGGTTTGACTGTAAAGGAGACACCTCCCTTTGTTTCCTTTCTGCCTCAGTTCAAGGATACATTGAGTTCACTATTCTCTTTTTTTTTTTTTTTTGCTATGTGATTCTGTATATTGGTAAAATGCTATAAAATATCAACATTATTTTCTTTAATGTAGCTGTTATTTGCTGGTTATTAAATTTATTTAAAGAGATCATTACTTACGTAATGTAAAATAATACAATGCAAATGAAGTACATAAGGAATTGTACTGCAAAACATTTATGTCACTAGGATGATTCCAGAGAGGACAGTAATTTCTCCTTTGTTAGGAGAATTCACCTTCTCAAAAGTATTTTACTACACATGCATACAAGAGAGGTCAAGGAGATCTACAAGAATAGCTATTTGACTTGTGGTTTTCATTCCAAGCTTCCGCCAATCACTTTTGGAAATGAGTAGGAGTGTAAATTATAAATCTACAAATTCTTGATTTATGGGAATATAAAATTCGAACTACAACCAACACTTTGCCCAAATAAACATTTTTTCCACCTTAAAAACCTCACATAACAACAGAACTTGCAATGTGTATTTGCATTCTAAGGGTGTTTATCTATTACAGGCAAGGGGTGGCATATATACTCATTGCGCATATGGCATCAAAATAAGATGAAAGGGCTCTGGAAACCCGAGAAATGGGGCCCTGAAATATTTAAGGGCGCTCTTTCCAGCCAAAACCTTTAACTTTATATAAGACATAGCTTACTGACTTTGTGAAAAGCCTTCTTTTTAATCTGACAAATCATTTTTTTACAGCTTCATGCACTGCTCTGAAGCTGCCAGTTTCTAAGCTTTAGGCTGGGCCCTGTAACACAAATGTTTTATTTCTTCTGTTTGAGCATCTTTTACTACATCTTAACAAAGTTTGCATTCACCTTGGTGTGATGCTCTTGAGCAAAGCAAAACCAAAGGGAACTGCAAACCACATCTCTGCATGAAAATGAAGAAAATGAAGAAAATGAAGATGGGTTTCCCTAACGCAAGAACTTTTAAGAGCATTCCAAAACTGTGTTTATTTTGTACTGGGGGTGGGGGGTAGGGGGCTTGAAGGCGATTTATTTTCCTTAAAGGACCACAGCATTCCCCCCCCCACCTCCCCCAAGGGTCACCATAAAAACTGTATGTCCTTTAGAGGCTGTGAAAGCATTCGGGGAAACATCGTCCTGCCAGCGCTCCCTTCTCCCCAAGGGCCCCCGCAAATAACAGTGGCGAAGCAGATGGTCCTCCCCTCCCCTTCTTCTCCCTTCCGCAGTCCCACAGTGTCCTCCCATCCCGCGATGACACCTTCACCCAGCGCTTAGTAACCGAGCCTCCCACCCAACCCCCAGAGCTCCCAGCAAGTGCAAACTTTGGGGACCTTCTCTCTGTCTCACCGCCCCCATTTCACCTTCATTCAGCTGTAGAACTCTCTCGGGATCCCAAGCTTCGATTGCTATCTTCCTCCCACTCCTCTGCCCCCAAACTACCCACTTCCCTGTATCGAAGGGGGAGACATCCAGCCCCAAACGTCCCAGCCCAGGTGGCGGAGGCACTGCGGCTAACCACAGACGGGTGCTGTCCTCGTCCTCTGCCCTTCTCCATCCTCTCCTCCGTCTGGGAGAATCGGAGCCCGGGAGCCCACACTGGGGACGCCTCCACTTCTCTGGCTTCCACGACCTAGTCCTAACTCCAGCGGCTCAAGGGAGCCTCAGCCCACAGGCCGGGCAAGCGGCGGCCGGGAGTCCTCCTCTACAAGTGGGACCGCGGGACAAAGTGCAAACTCTATCGGGAGGGGGGCTCCCGGCGGCCCTTCCCTCGGGCAGGGCGCCCAGGTGCGGCTCGCCCCGTGGAGGCGGACGGGGACCCGCGGGAAGGAGGCGCCCGTTCCAGGGGCGCCGGGCCGGGCCGGGCCGGGCTGGGCGCCTGGAGCTTACCTCGGCTCGCGGGCCGCCGGCGCGTGGGGCAGTGGCTCCTCCAGCCGGGAAGCTGTTGCTCGCGTTCGCGCGGCGGCGGCGGTCCCGCCGGGGCTGCGCTGGGGCTTCGCGCAGACGCTCTCCCGCGGTCTGCGGCAGCCCGGGCGGTGGCGGCGCCAGCGGCGGCTGCGGCGCCGGCGACAGCTCGGCGCGGCCCCGGAACTGTCCAACTCCGGCGGGCGCGGGGCTGAGGCTCCCGCCGCGACCCGGGCACTGAGCGCCTGCGCGCCCTGCCTCGCCCAGGTGAGGGGCGTGTGCCCGGAGCCCGCGGGGCGCGCCCGGCCCGGGCTGCGCTCGAGCCTGGCCCGGCAGCCTCCCGGCGTCCGGCCTGGCCGCGGACCCCGGGGGTCGGACCCGCCAACGCCTCTCCCGTGCGCCGAAGCTGGCGACGGTTCACCAGGCAGGGACTTGCGAGGCACACACCCTGGGGCAAATGAGGCGGGACCGTTTGGGGGCTCGTTGACACTGCGGAGTCTCCCACAGCATCGCCGCCTTTAAATCCCGCCTTTCCAGGCGTGCGCGCACCGCGAGGGAGAGGAGACTCCGTCCGGACCAGGGGGTCCTCGCAGTCCTCGGCCTCGGGCCCCCGGTCCCTGAGAAAATTCTTGGCAACCGCAGAGGTCCCAAAGCCGGGATGCTCAGCGGCGCGGCAGGGCGGATCTTTCAAATATTAGTCAAGCCAGAGTGAAACTCTGTTCTTGGAGATGGTCAGAACAACTATTTGTTTTTCTTCTTTGACCTGCCCCCGGCTCCAAGACCACACCAAGCAGCCTCGGCGTTTCTGGCGGAGCCGGGACGGCCCGCAGCGCTGAAGGCATCGCAGCCTCGCCGCGGATCTAAAGGGCTCTTGGATGGGGGGGGGGGGGTGCTTCTGCTCCTCTGGATTTCTCTTCCGTGCTTATTTAAGTTTTCAAAACTAAAACATGTCATCGGTTCCCCTGATGTAGGGCATCTTGCGAAAATAATGCAAACATAGCCAAAGTGCTGGGTTCTGAAAGGGAGAGCGCTTGGAAAGAAAACATTTAAGGGGATAGGAAAAATAATTTTAGAAAGAGCAATTTTCTGAGATTATTTGGCTGGAGAAGTTCAAGAGTAATAAATGACAAGAGAGCTGTGTTTTACAACAGAGATTTTTTTCTTTTTTTTTGACCAGATGATTTTAAAATATTATTCTTTGGTTCTCTTCTTGAATGATTGACACTAACTCCATCAATAATTAAACCAGCAGCTGTTCATGTCTTGGCATAATAGTCCAGAGTAAATATCTTAACGTCCAGCCAAAGCCAGTGCTCTTCTCCAGGGTGGTTTGAGATTTGACAAACACACATGCACATCATCCTAGAGCTTTCTAAAGGAGCAGGTTGTGTTTATTACCCACCTTGGAATTTAGGGTTATTGCAGGCACCAGCACACCTGTGATACCAGCGTGAGAAGGAGTATAATCTGACAGATAGTTTTTATATTTTTAGAATTCTAAATATCTTCACATCCAGGTACGCTGTCTTACTTACTCATTACTAAGAGCAGGCACTCATTTGGTATGTTTATTCTGAAAACTGTACCCTATTTGAAATTGCAACAGGAAGCCAGCACCAACATTAAACCATTATAACCCAGAAGACCATGAGCTATGATAACTGCTTAAGTTGTCTCACAAAATCATGCTCTTAAGGTCTCTCTCCCCATCAGTGAAGGTTATATTGAAAACAAGTCATGAATTTCATGAGTCCCTGAAGGTCAGTAAGGTGGGGTTCTGGCAGACTGGGACTGGCAGGAAATTCCAGAGGCAAAAGCCTTCCATGAGAAAAACACCCAGCTTCCAGTGCCCTGCACTTCACAGTTGGGAACAGTGTGGCTGCTACTGAGCCTAGATAAGTATTGGTATCTCCAGGTACCTAAAGTGCAGAGCAAGGGGGAGGGGTCCTTAAAGCCTCAAGTCAACACCTTGGATTGCACTTGGAGGCAAATGAGTAACCTCTGCAGAGTGGAACACCTGTGAGAAGTGTTCCCTGTGGCTTGCACAATTTAGCAGCATGTGCATTTTTTTTGTCCTGCAAACTGCAACTATATCCTTCTCTCCTCTCTGTCTATTTTTAATCACCTATAGCGAAGACTTATGGTGGAGAATAGCTTGAGGGCTGCATTTCCTAACAGCTGAAAGAAGCATAAAATTCGTGCAGACAACTCCCAATTTTTCACCTGTGACATAACTAAGAACTGTGCTGTCATGTCCTTAGCCAGGGCAGGATTCAGGCCTCTGGAGGCCCAAGCACTGAAACACTTGCAGTGCCTCCTTTCTAAGTGCACTTCAATGTGGAAACAACATTAAACTAAAACAATACAAGATTTAAATATATAGAAACAACAGCTGCTCTATAGATTTTCTGATTGCAAATTTGTGCCTCATAGATCTTGGCATTGCCTGTTCCTTTTCAGTGCCATCTGATGTAAGGGGTCCTCCTATCCTCAAACTCTCCCACCACCATTTCCCTAGAACCGTTATTGCTCATTCCTGGCAATAATGGAGTAAACCAACTCAGAGAACTGTTAGCTCTAGGCGAGGAGCATTCAGAGAACTGTCAGGATAGCAGCAACACAGAGGGATTGTGCAGCGAGAAGTGGTCCCTAAACATTGAGAATAAACATAGCAGAAAGAAATGAATTTGAGCCTTTTTCTACTATATGTGTTAATGAGGTGTGTGGTGCATTGTTTCCTAAACATTGACGAACTTAGGCAAACTCCCTTTAACTATGTCCATAAATTCATACTTTCCAATAGATAAAGAAGTTGGTATTAACAAGAACAGCATCAACAAATTTGAAGCCTTCATCAATCACTTCGCTTTACTCTCTAAGAAATGGATAAGACCTTATACATAAGAAAGGGATAAGTAAGACGTTATAAAACAAGGCCCTATAGACATTTTAGATTGCTTTGCAGCCATCATCAACTCTCTGGTCTCAGAGCTGGGGGCCATATTTTGAAAACCATGCTTGCAATGGAAGAGGAAAACTGAACTAGGAGTAGAAGATTCAAATTCCAATTTCAGCTGTCACTTTCAAGCCTAGAGAGCTTAGTTTCTTCATCTGTAAGACAGGACTAATTATATCAGCCTTGTCTCAATGGGTTGCTGTAAAGACATAATGTTTATGAAACACTTTGGAAACTATATAGGAATACAGGTACTATTGGTTGATAATTGTCTTGCTCGTATTTCGCTTTTCCTCCATTGCTTTTGAGGTGTTCTGCAAACTTTTCCTCCAAGTGTCTTATAACTCTTGTTTTGCTTTTCAATAATCTCCACTATGAATATTTCCTGATAACTCTACTTGCAGGTGGCTCCAGTGTCATGTAATGTGGAAAAACAAGTTCTAGTGTTGAATGAACAGAACTTGAGCTCTGGCTTAGTACTGATTCACTAGCCATGTGATGTTCTTCATTCCCTCTAACCTTCAGTTTCCTCATCTGTAATGTAGGAAAATAAGTATACCTTCATCATAGGGGTTATCCTGAGGATCAAAGCAAACAGGAAAGTATTTTGCAAACTGTAAAATACCTGACAAATGTTTATTGTAATTTATTTTAACAACTATTTGGAAAATAAATAGGAGGTTTATCTCCATATTGGGCAATAAGATCTAAAATATCTTAGAAATGCCAAAAAAATTAAATTATATATATATATAGGACTTTATATATATATATATATATATATATACACTATATATAGGATTTTCAGAGCAACTTACAACTAGATGGAAGATAGTATAACATTTTTTTCAATAGGCCACTAAATTATATTTATATACAAGGGTACATGAATATTACAAATATCAGAAAATCTTTTATTTCAACTTCCACATATTATGAGAAATTATGGAATGAATGTGCCTTGTTCTTAAAAGCCCCAACTCAGGTTCAGCAAAAAGTTTTGTTTTTGTTCAAAACCACTGATATTATCTTAAGATGTCTGCCTACTCAAGATGGATAACAATGAATTGAAACACAAAATGTTGAGGGTTTTTTGATTAGGTAATTTTCATTCTCATATGTTTGATGAAGCATATGAGATGGGACAGATAGTTCTTTAAGGCTAACGAGTTTGTTTCATGCAGAAATTCCAACTTTGAACCATCCAGTTATATGTTAAAAAATGAAAATGAAAAAGTGGAGGAAGTTGTTTTAATTGTAAATCTTAAGGCTATTTCTGAGTTGTCCATTTGTGCTTTACATTTATCTCATTTCTAAACCTAACTGTATTATCTTTTAAATCTAACTGGAGTGTCTGCCTTTTAGAAGGAGAAGGGATATAGAACTTATTGCTAAATTTCAGGCTTACTTGAGAAACTGTGCTAGTCTTTTTTTCTCCCTGTCCTAGGGAATTATTTTTATGTGACTCACTAGTATCCTATTATGTGAAAAAGAATTGTCCTTTTGGCCTACAATTATTTTTTAACTGGAGATTGAGTTCCCTTCCATCTTCCTTTTTTTACTTGAATACTATTAGCAGAGAAGGGCCATGTAATGAAATTCCTTGTTCACTAATATGTGTCTTCCCTTTTTACATTGAGCACATTATTTCTTTATCTTGATATTTTAAAATTAATTAGTTAAGTATTTTTCCCATGTGTGACCAAAATCCGTTTGTTTTTACCTTTTCCTCGTAAAAACTTATTTTTTGAGATCTAATGGAATTGGTGCCTTGCTGTGGCACTGTGCCCCCTTCTCTGAGGAAATAACATTTTTTTATGTCCAGAGGTGATCGATATTGTAAAAGTATTCCTCCTAGACCCTAACCACGGCTTTGAGGTAGTAACTGTGACTCTTCTTATGTATCTGTCCCTTGAAACTTAATCCAGCACTGCCTTGGGCCCCAAAATGAAGGTTGCATGACTTCACAGTACCCCCAAATCCTTCCCTAATGAGATTGCAAGGTGATTACCCTGGTTAGCACATATTCCCCTGTTTGGCTCTTTGCTCTGAGATGGATATAAAATAATCTTCTTTGAACTGCATTTGCAGTTTTAATTTCCTTCCACTTTTTGTAAATCTGAAGATGTGGTGATATTCCTTTCAAAAACATCTATCTATTTCTTAGTCTTAGCTCTTCAGTCCATGCCTTTGTGCATTTAACTCACAACCACCTGGTAACTGGGGAAGCTCCCCAGTGACTAAAACCTTTTGATTTAAGATTGCATTTTTTCAAGAGTTTTTCACTTTAACCTATGCCATAATTTTAGATAAATTACGAGTGTTGAACGTACTGTGTTAATTTTCAAAAGGCTTCAGTGTCTCAATAGCCAACAAAGAGCTTATTGAAGAATACTGTGTTCCACATACTATAAATGCATTGTCTCATTTATTGTCATAAGAATCCTATGAGGGGGAAAATATACCATTTTACAGATAGGGAAAGCGAGAAGCAGTACATTTGTGATACGCAGAAGGTCACAAATAGAGCTAAAATT